AAAGAAAAAAATGTATTTAGTAATTTTCATATATTGTGCAGTATTTTGCTTCTCTGTTTTTATTTTTTGTATGGTATTTTAATTTCTAAAATATAAAATTTTACATTATTTAGACTTTCTTTTTTAAAAAATTTATAGTTGCAATATATTCTTTTTCCTACGGTTGGTTTAGTCTTTCTGTTTATAGGGTTAGTTTTTGATGGTGTAATTTAAGAAGACCTTTTTCTTCAAACTCGTAATGAATAAATTCGCCTCCTTGTTCATAGTATCCAAACCTTTTTTTTCTTTATAAAACCCTATTTTTTTTAAAAATGGAATAAATGATCTTCCAACATGTGTAACTTTGATACAAATAAACCATATGATCAATTAGTACACTAAAACTGTATTAAATCAGCAATATACTTTTCTAAAGATAAATATATAGTAATAGTAAAAAGCATATCTCTTTTATATAATATAAATTTTATTTCTCAAACATACTACTAACACTTTGATATGTATACCCAATAAACTATTTATAAACCAATATTTTTTTAAAAAACATTTAATCAAAACATTTAAAATAAAATAGTATCAAGAATATTGTTCTAAAGATTAATATCCTTTACATTCTATCCGAAATTATCAAATTGCATGCTCTTGTTCATCTATTAAATTTTCTATTTGTCTGGATTCAGGCACAAGTTATCCTATCTCTCTCAATCTGTTATTTCTTTAGTGCTATAAAAAATTCTTGTTATTATCTTTTGTCGTTTAGTAACCTTAAATTATATATCCTCAATCATTTTTTAGTTAAGTATGGCAATAAATCACAAACCAATGCATAAAATCATAGAATAATTTGCCTCTTCTTTTTAAATCACTAAACTTTATTACTAAAAGCGGTCTTTTTTACACATTTATTGGAGAGATACTGTTTGTAAAATGTTGGGCTCATGTGGGTTATTATTTTTATTATTACTTTTGGTGTTATTTTATGTTATATAAATATTATTATAACATTGTTTTACTATTATTCATATATAACTTATTGTTATTGCTTAATATTCAGTCTAAATATTTATCAAAATTATTATTACTATTATTATTGTTATTATTATATGAATTATATTTATTGATATAAATATTATTGTTAACATTGCTGGTATTGTCCTCGTTATAATTGTTTTTATCTATATATTTTTAATATTTACATATATGCACCCACATATATATATATATATATATATATATATATATATATATATATATATATATATGTATATATATATATATATATATATATATATTATGTATTATATATATATATATATATATATATATATATATATATATATATTATGTATTATATATATATATATATATATATATATATATATATATATATATATATATATATATATATATATATATATATATATATATATATATATATATATATATATATATATATATATATATATATATATATTATGTATTATATACAATGATAAATATTTATATTATTATATTTGTTTATATATATATTTATATTGTTATATATATATATATATATATATATATATATATATATTTTTATTTGGCTCATTTTCATATGGTTACTTGGTATATTGTTTGGAACATAAACAATTACAATAAATAGTTTAACTTTATTTCAACCTAAAAATTTGGTTTAATGAAAGGAAAAGATATTTTATCAAAAAAAATATATATACTGGAAACTTCGATGCAGGTGGTTTTTAAGGAATTCAAATTTTTTTCCTCTATCGGAAGTTTTAGAAATTGTTTTTATTATTATCAACTTTTATCAATAGTGTTAGTTTTAAGGAGCGAATCAACAACTCTAAAATATATATGTATTAATTTAAAATATGTTTTTTTTTAATTATAGTTCTGTAAAACTTTAGCTTGATACTGCACAATATTTTTGTCTTTTGTTTCTGGAGTCACTACTTTTTCCGGAGCAGTTTAATAAGGTGATTTTTATTAGAATACTATTATATTAATGGTAAAATTTTTGAATAGTAACAAATTGATTTAAATGTTGATTTTGTAATTACTCATACTAAGTTTCACTTTAGATTAAATAAGTAAATATTTAGATTTAATAAATCTTAGTAAAGAGTAGTTGAAATCTTATGACTAACGTGTTTCAAACTGTGATAATACTTCATTGGTATGATAGAAAATATAAATTTGTGAAAGATTTTGCATTAAAGTTTTATTTCCAGGCTAATTTATTAATTTGGTTTTTAGAAGAAGTAAGATATATTCTGATTAAGAACAATGCTTCATTAAACAATGAAGATGCATAAAGATGGCAAATGTCTTGCGATGCAGAAACACCCTAGTTATAACTAAAAACATAAAAAAAAAATATATTATATGCTCAATATAAAATTATTTATTAATTCGTTCATAACAAAGTTAACAATATTCTGTTTTTAGTTATTTTTGAGCCAACAAATTTATATACAGATCAGGAGGAATATTACTCAGAATCCCTATGAGTAATAGTTGCTTTTGTAATCTCATTTATTGATCGAAATTAAAGCGGGCTAATGTCCTTTTACTGATCTCGGCCCGACGTCATTTTACTAATCTTGGCCCAACGTTGTTTTACTGATCTCGCCCCGATGTCATTTTACTGATATCGGCCCGATATCCTTTTACTGATATCGGCTCGATGCCATTTTACTGATATCAGCCCAACCTCGTTTTACTGATATCGACCCAATAATATCGGGGCTACATCATTCTTATGAGCAAAAACTACGTCGACCCAACATAGTTGAACTACCATCGGCCGCTGTAAAAACCTACGTCGTGCTGACGTCGGGCCAACGTGTATATGTTATCTAGGAGGGGGGGGGGAGAATTATACCATCCACTCCTCCCTAAAAAAGGCGATTTTCAGTTTTTTGAGGAATATATAGTTGGTAAGTCGGGCATTTGATACATTTTTGAAAATAAAAACTACTTCTATTCTTTTTTTAATGTTGATCATAGTAAAATAAAACTATTTATTACACTACTAAACAACCCCATATTTAAATCAATTATACGAACCCAATTTCCGTGTATAAATAGACTGAAGTCTTTAATAAACAAACCATTTACAATATGCAACTTATTCGAAGATAAAAACAATAAATGTATAGTTAAAAGAAATCAAAATTGTTTTTACGCGCTCTAAGAAAGTATTGTGAGACAATGTTGCGGAAATTTTAAATTCGTTTAAAATCTCAATCGAAATTTGGTGGAGGAAAGTTTTTCGGCAACTCAAACGGATCTAGTCTAGTCTTTTGTTACTTTTACTTACAATGTAATCATTGGGTTAATTAAAACATATAAAGTAATTAAAACTTAATTATTAAAAGTGAGGTTACATTAAATATCTAAAATTTAAATAGCGAGGCAACTTCAACAAACGAGTTCAACTTTTTTCAGCAACTTGCATAAGAGTACTACGTAAATATTTAGATAAAATTTTAAATGAAACACATTTAAATTAAAATTAAACACCTAAATTTTAAATGAAACGCACTTAAATTTAATGAAATATACTTAAAACTAGGAATAAAAAAAGACTGATGTTTAGGCATCAGTAGCATTACCCTTGATTTGCTACTGATGCTTAGGGATAAAAAGCGAGATTATTTGGTGATAATTTATACAGCAAAAAAATTTTATTTTTTTATATTTCATAAATTTCTTAGTATTAAAGATTTTATAATAATAAATAGTATCAACAACTTTTCTTAAGTCTCATTCAAATTAGATTACATCATGTTTGCAAATGACATCTTTTTATTCTTCTAGTCCTATCAGCGGCCTCTTTATAAGCGTAAACTTAAAACTTCAAAAGCTTTGCACATGGTTCAGAGCAAATTGGGATTAAACTCGAACAAATTGGGATTAAACTCGAAAAAAATATACATTTTATTTTATTTTAAATCCAAAAAAATATCATTACGACCAAATGTACCAAATTCTTAGCGTAGATAACGCTATTATTGAAAGAACACAATTATCTAAATTTCTTGGCATGCTTATTGATGAGAACTTACCTTGGAATCTTCTTATAAATGCTATGAATAAAAAAATATCTAAAAACAAAAAGGTCTAATTTTAAGGTAAGACCCTTCTTATCATACAAAAATTTAAAACTTTTATATTTTCCGTTCATTCACAGCTATCTGTTAAACGCCATTATTGATGAGCCTACTCCAGCGACGGCAAAAAACTCGCTTCTAAAGTTATACTTTATAAATACAAGCTTACCCGTGCAATCAGATGAATGCTTTGAACATTTACCAAATAAACATATATCAAGATATATGTTTATTCTCAAACATGGAATGGGTAATTCTCCTAAGTCAATTTATTAATAACTTTTTTGAAACTAATATAAATAAAATTAACACTTGAGCAGCTGAAAATTATATAGTACAATGTAAAAATTTACCGCAAAATTTAGGGTACTATACCATAACTATGCCGTGAACAAAACTATGGTGTACCGTGAACGCCTTTTATGGTATAGAAACGTTATTAACACGGTACCTCGACCGTGAACACTAAATTTCTGTGATGTTTTCTTAACTAGCGTGAAATTTTAGAAGTTTTTAAAAATTTAGTCTAACGGCACTAAATCAGATTCTTAGATTCTTACTTAAATTTATTTGATTTTTTTTTTTTTAAGATATATAAATATGATGATCAAGAAAATCATTACTTTTTAATGATGATCATGTTTGGATTTAAAAATCAAGCGGATTATTTGATGATTTAATAGGAGCATTTGACGGTTGAAATATGCGAATTAACCTTTTGTTTCAAATTGCACAGTTTTATAACAAAAATAATTTCGGATTATACCATGATGATAGTTTCTTTATCAGTGGCTCCCAAATGAAAAAAATCAAAAAACATTTTGTTGATATATAAAAGATTTTACTAAATCAATACAGTGCAATATGAAAGTTATAAATTACCTTGACGTCACATTAAACCTTAATGGCCATACTTTCAAACCATATTCCAAGCGGAAATTCTTTAAACTATATTTACGCCAATTAAAACAACCTGCCAAGTATTTTAAAACAAATATTTTAACGATACTCCCTTGAAATGTTAATAGTATCTATACTACCTTGAAATATTGCAGTAAAATCAATTTGAAAATAAAGAGTTACATCCATAGTAGAAGTTTTTATTTAGTTAAATGCATTAAACTTTTTAAAGATGTCTTTTATTTAGATGTATTTTTAACGTTTTTTCTTGATTTAAAGAATAGATATGGCTGAGTTCCATCGCAATGTTGTACTTTTTCATGTAATCTAATACGATATATATAAATATTGATCTATTTTGTAAAAAATTTTACATTATATTGATTAGTTTTAAACAAACAAGAGGCTTTGTATCTAAACTTGATACAATAAACTGCGTATATATATATATATATATATATATATATATATATATATATATATATATATATATATATATATATATATATATATATATATACATATATATAAATGCCTCTTTTTTTTTAAGGAGATATATATATATATATATATATATATATATATATATATATATATATATATATATATATATATATATATATATATATATATATATATATATATATATATATATATATATATATATATATATATATATATATATATATATATATATATATATATATATGTAAACGCCTCTTTTTTTTTTAAGGAGAAAAACAAAAAGTTATAATTTTAACGATTTCAACATTGTGGAGTAATTTAGATTTGTTTGTTTTTTCCGAAAGCATTTTTATGTTTTTGGCAAAAATCCGTATAACACCCTCTTCCACTTGAAATCTACTTGCTACTTTTAAAAATGTGTATACATCAATATCTCCAGCAATGACGACTGAACTACAAACAAAAGACTTACATCCATTCTTAATAGAGAATTAGATGATATCATGTTTTCCTATCTTGTCTATACTCTACAAAATCTACTTTACTCATCCTTTTACATCTGTTTATGATGAGAGAAGATTCAGTAGAGTAAAGATTATTTAAAAATTATCTGTGATCAATAATGATAAAACAATTTCTTATTGAATTGACATTAACTTGAATCGAATGTGAGCTTAGTGAGAGCAATGACTTTGAATTATCATTAAATCATTTTGCTTTAACCCAGTGGGCACAAACGAAGATGTCTTTACAACATCTAATAGTTGTCACAAGTCTGCATGATGCTCTTAAGACGACCAATAAACTTTCTATATCCGCTATAATCAAACTCTCGCAGAAAAAAATTTGTATAAACTAGCAGGAAAGTAAATTATTTTCTTTGCGCTTGCTTTCAGTGTATGCATAGTATTCAAACCATTGCAATAATATTAAATGTTTCTTTTTTTTTTAACGATAATTCTTAATCAAAGTAAACTTTGCAAACTCAAACTTTAGTTTGTTTAGTGTCTTAGACGTACCTTAGACGTACTTAGACGTACCTAATAGTTATGGTAAAAGACACATACACAATTATTATTAGATTTTATCACAAATGCAATTCTCGAAAAAATATTTCTGGGGTTTAATGTGCCACCTCCAACCCTATTGTCCCCTACTCATTACCCTGGCCCCCCTCCCCACGATGCTAAACCTTAATCCGCTACTGCCTTGATCTTATTTCACAACATAAAGCTTTATTGCCACACTACTTGCTACCTGCAGTTTTTTAAATAATTGGTCTTAATGTAAGGCTAAAATTTAAGTCTTTGGCCTTGAAATTGTTTTTGAAGTCTATGGCCTTGAAACTCTAGAACTTGGCGTTGACCTTGAAACTTTTGGATTTTGTCAACCTTTTTTCCTTAAAAAAATTAAATTAAACCTGAAGCTAAAAAGTTACTGATCAAAGAAAAAAAAACTGTAGATTATTTTTTTACTTTTAACACATATATGTGATAAAAGATCATAAATTCCTTCGTTCTTGTTAAAATTATTTATTTTCATTTTATTTATAATTTAGTCTGAAGTAAAAAATATATATACACTATAAAAACTAATACCGGACTTCCTTTATTACAAGGCATGGTCATACCGCCCATTCCGGAAAAAAGAAAACGCATCACATGAAAATTTCTTTTCTTAATCAAACAGTTTAAACATTTTAGTGCCTGTTTTTTTTTGCAGATAAGTTTATTTTTACTCTTTTTAAGTTTTTATGTAAACATAAAAATTAAAAATAGTAGTTAAACTGATATTTTGGTTTTGCATATGCTTTCTTCTTTATTAATCATCTAACAGTTCCACATCATTTATCATGTTCTATAAAAAAAGGAAATAAAACTTCATTCGTATTTAAATCTCACATTACTTCATCCTGAATTCTTGTCATAAATATTTATCGTAAAATAAGAAAGCTTAGCACGTTTTTTTTTTTACATTTACACTTACCATTACTTTTGATGTCAATTTGTTAACAACTATTTCGGCCGCTCTTTTGTAACTTTCCTCTTTCTTTAAAACTTTCCAAGTTTTATCAACCATACTTTGGACGTATTCGAAATTAAGAAGTGAAACCAAGAGCATAAGTATAACAAAGCGCATTTTTTTTTAAACTTTATATTTTTGAACTATATCTGTAAAAATCTTTTTAAAAAGTCGACACCAATATTTTTAAGCTATCAAATCGTGTGTAATATAAGTGAATGCAAAGTTAATATAACTTAATTGCTTTACATTCGCGAACTCATTGGCTAAGCAATAAAGACAATTGGATTACGTGACGAGACTTTTCTTTATAAATACAATTCGAATTCTTAGGATTATTTTACCTTTTTGCATTGTATTGGACAATGTTATTTGGCTTAAAATAATGTTTTTAATTAGCTACAAATTAACTGAATAAAAAACTTAATTCGAAAAAAAATAATTCTTTTAATAACCTCCTCCCCCACCACCCAAAAAAAAAAAAAATGAATAGCAGCAATCAAGAAAGACTTCGATTAATTGAAATCAACTGAAATCGTTCTTCCAAAATGAAACTTTATGTTTGCGACAATCAGTACGGCCGCTAAGAATTTGCTAGAAAATCCATTTACCTTTAAAAAACCTTTAGCAAGATTTCCCTAGAGGTATTTTGGTTTTAAATTTTAGATAAATTTGTTATAAATTAAAAATACTGAGTATTTATATAAATGTGTAGATGAAGGCGAAGACGTTGGAGCCCTTGTGATTAATTTGTCAAAGACATTTAATTTAGAGCAGCCGTGGCGCAGTGGTAGCGCACTTGCCTTATATATATATATATATATATATATATATATATATATATATATATATATATATATATATATATATATATATATATATATATATATATATATATATATATATATATATATATATATATATATATATATATATATATATATATATTTGCCGTTTAAATATTGTTACAATAAGAAGACAACAGAAGACAACAGTAGTCTTATCACTAAGCCCCGTAGTGATAAGACATAAGATAAAACCGTGTTTTACATTTTATTATATAATGTTTTAATACATATAAATACATGTTTTATATATATACACACACACATATACATATACACACACATATATACACACATACATACATATATACATACCTATATACATACATACACACACATATACATATATATACACAAACACATATACGCACATACATATATTTATACTTTTTTAAATAAAAACCTTTAAATTGTAATTTAAATAGACAATAACAAAAAGAAAGAAACAAATAGCAAAATACAAATTCAAAAACCAAATTTTAAATAAAAAATATAAAAATAAAAAAATAAAAAGAGAGAGAAAAGCGAAATATAAAAACCTCGAGACGACCAAAAGAAAATGTCGTATTGAGTAAATAGTGAGTAAATTTTTTATTTTTTTAAATTTAGTTTTAAAACATTTAAACTTAAAACTATTTATAGTTAAATGTAGTTAATAGCTATAGATTAAAGAACTGAAAAAGCAAACCAGTCAGTTAACAATAAATATAACATAATATTATTTTTGATATTTAGAAATATCTTATTTCATTGTCAATATTAAGAAGTTTTTGTTTAAGTTTTATTTTAAATTGGTTAAGGGAAATAGAAATTTTTATATCTTTATTAATTTTTGTATTCCATAATTTGGGCCCTTTTGCAATTGAGAATTTTGTGGCCATATAATATGTTTTGGGTTGTTTGTAGTTCAGATTTGAAAACCCGATAGGGTAAAAGTGATTTATTTTATTAAAAAGGGTATTAAATATGGAAGGCGTCATTTTTTTAATCAATTTTGTACATAAAAATGAGTATCTGGTAAATGTTTAAGTTGAAAAATATTGAGTATCTTTAGTTTACTAAATAGATCTTTTGATGGTGTTAAATGGTTTACATTTGAAAGAACTTGTATAGCATGTTTTTGTTTGCTGAGAAGTTTTTTTAACTTGGTTGTGTTGGTGCTGCACCAAGCTATGTTTCCATAATTAAGGTAGCAGTGAATAAAAGAAAAGTATATATTTTTTAAACAGTCTTGATTTAATACCTGTTTAGCTTTATATAATACGCCAATATTTTTTGATATTTTGTTCTCTATTGTATTTATTTGTTCACGCCATGAAAGGTTTTCGTCGAGAATTACACCTAAGAAGGAGCACGAGTGTTCTTTTTTTATGTTACAGTTATCAATACATAAATTGGGAAGTTTTAAAGGAATAATATTTTTTTCGTGTCGTCTATGAAAGAAAGTATACTTGGTTTTACTTATATTTAGGGATAATTTATTCGACCTGAACCGTTCAGTTAATATTGACTGTTTAACTTATTTTGGGTTTTAACTGGAACATTGCATCTAACAGATCTCTTTCCGTAAGTTCATCATTGCTCATTACGTTGGTGTTATGGGAGTTTAAAAAAGATTCAAATTTTATTTCTGTGAGTTCTATTTTTGATGCTAAGTTATAACCTACATTAACAAAATACTGATTAAATTTTTCTGCAATTAAATATTTATCTGAAATAAATTCGTTATTTGTGTATAGATTATTTGGGAGGCTATGGCTATCTATTTTTTTTTCCCAATTACTTCCTTAACTATGCTCCACATCTTCTGTGTATTTTTATTGTGATTTTTTAGAACGTCTTAAAACTAATTCATAAAGACGCTTGTAGTTTTTATAATTGATTTCATTTTTAAGTGTTCTTTTTTTGATGTATTTATTGTACAGGCGCTGTTTTCTGTTTGATGATTTGAGAATACCCTGTGTTATCTAAGGATTTAGCAGTGTTTTTGTTTTGACAAACTTTGTTGTCTCTGGAAAAGCTTTGTAATAAAGTTGTTGGAACTCGTTAAGAAACGTATCATATGCTTTATTAATGTTTGTAATTATTATAATGTGATTCCAAATTTTAAGAGATAAATGGTTATGGAAACCATTAATAGTGATTTCATTTATTCTTCTGGATGTTCTTTTCAATTTTTTTACAATATTGTTATCGGACTTATGTGACATTATAAATACCGGAAAGAGATCAGAAATATCTGATATAACAATGCCTGATTGAATTTTGATGTTTGCGAATTCATTTGTGATTATTTGATCGATTGATGTAGCACTTTCTCTGGTAATTCGAGTGGGTTTATTAATAATCGGAATGTAACCATTCTGAAAAATACAGTTGAAAAAGTTTTTTATTTTTTTGTTTTTATCATACTCAAGAATGTTAAGGTTAAAATCGCCCACGAGGTATACGCTTTTATTTGATCTTGATTCAGTTTTAAATATTTTTTTTACAAAATCTTTAAATGTTTTGATTGTTCCAGAAGGTGGCCTGTATACAGCGTACACGATAATATTTTTTGAATTTTTGTTTATAATTTCAATGCACAACGACTCGTAATTGCTGTTAGTTGAGCATGAATCCTTTTTATGTTTGTATAACAATGAGTTGTTTATAAAAATACATTATCCCCCACCTGTCTTTTCAGTGCCTAAGAAACAAAAAACCAGAAGCACTTCTTGGGGCACCTAAATAAAATTAAAAAAAAAAAAATTGACACAGTTCTACACAGTGGCGGATTTTGCATTGGGCAAAACCAACGGTCATAAAAGCCAATCAACAAGAGGTTATTACATCAAATTTGAAATTTGACGATAAATATAAATTAAGTTTAAGATTAAAAAAAAAATTACAAATTTGACTAACTGCCCTCCTGTTTGGGGGTGGGGGGCTAACGTTTTAGGGGTTTTGTTGTTCCCAGTCTCCAATCACCGCAATTTTTTGCACAGTATCCTCCATATTTAAGTATGTTCATATATTCATATATGAACATACTTAAATATGGAGTTTTTTTCATGTTCCAAAGTTGCTAAGCTCAAACATCAAAAAAAGTTGTCTACGGCCTTGCATAGCACGGTGGTTAGATTTCTAGCTCAGAACCAATAGGTTCGAGATTCGATGCTAACATTTGCCAACTAAGCGACAAAGGTAAAGAAGGAGGTGTAGACTTTCTGGTTAAATGCTCTTCCGCAGTGCTGAGACGCTCTGTGAAAAGACCGCCATATCTTTTTTTAGTTTTTTTTTTTTAGTTTATTAGTTTATTTCGCCGTTAAAAATATTCACAAAGTACAACAATATAAAAAGTACAATTGGCTGGAGCAAGAAGAAGGCATAAAATAGCCTTATCACCGAGCCCCAATAGTAACGCAAATAAATATCCGTAATATATAATAATCCGTAATATATAAGCAAAAGCATTTAAGGGGCTACCCCCCTCTATTTTTAAATCTAAGTATTTAAAAAAAAAAATGTTATGGGTTTCTAGGTTTTAGTAAAATATAAACCTTTTTGAAAAAAAAAATTAAAAAAAAATTCGTAGTTTCCTTGGTAACCAAAAAATACCCCTAAAATGACCAAAAAATAACTTCACGCTGGCCAAAATATAAGAATATGTGTACTTATTTACATTTTAAAATTTTAATACAATATTATCATAAAGTAGGGCTGTGAAATGAATGGATCAGATTTTTCATAACATTTTGCCATCATCAAAATGGCGCAATCAAAGATCATGGTCAAAATTTTCATCGATTTTAGGTCATATATATATATATATTTAATAAAATAAATAAATTCCAATCCATTCATTTCACAGAGTATAATATGATAAACACTTCCTGAAAATTTCATACAAAAATGTAATACGGTTCTCCAGATAATTTGGCCGGCGTGCACAAATTTCTATTTTGAGAAAAAGACAACTTAAGTTAAAATTTTTGAAAACAATACAATTTTTTTCATAAAAACTGTTGAAAAATAAACAAAGTTTTCAAAATCCACCAGGAACATACAAGTCACCTTCTTTTTCAATTATTTTCTCATTCTTCTTCAGTTTCTTGGCACGTAATACTTGCCTTCTTAACTATTTAACAGGGTTCATTCTAATTTCTGCTTTTTGTAATCTTTCATTATTTAATGATTTGCATCCTGCAATCATATGAAAACCTGGTTCCATGTCCAGTTGCTTCAAAATATCAATAGATGCTTTTGCTCCAATATTAAAATTGGCAACAGCATCATATACACCAATTGTTAATTGGGTAAGTGATACAAATGTTTGTTTTGGTATACGCTTCCAAATCATTCCATAAAAAGACTCATTGGCATTTTGTGTCTTACCGTGCAAACATTTTTGTAACTCAATATCTTTCC